ATATAAGTTAGAAGTATAGTAATATGAAATACTTATAAATTCACTACCAAACCATCAAAGATTCAAGAGAACTAAGTATTTGAAATGAGCCTTAGGTTTTTGTTCTTATTGCACAAGTTTGTAGTCTATTGACATGGACTTTTTAGTGTAAACACACTAATAACTAGCTTAGACTCCAAGGTCCAATTGACATGTGGACACTTGTCTTGTTAGGGTGCATGACAATCTTAGAAGGTGGCAATAACTATATGTTGACTATTGGCTAATATGGCAACTATGAATTGTCAACTAATAACACAATTTTAACCGTCTACATAGATAATCACATAATATCTGATAACAATTACACATGTATATATACATTCTTTTAACAACACTTTCTAAAATATAGAATAGAAAAAAAAATTAATTTAATGTACTTAGATAACAAATCAAATCATATTATGCAATTCTAAACTATTGCATAAAATTTAGACTAAATTATTAATATTAGTAATCTTTTAGTAAATCTTTATACATCTATTGTTATTATAATATAAAATAATATAACTGAAAATTAAATTTTAAAAAAATTTTAAATAGATAACTTGCTTCAATAATAAATTAAATTAGATCTTATAATAAAATAAAGAAACCACTAGATAGATATCTTCCCTGCACTATGAGGATGCCTTTATTTATTTACCTTTATTTATTTATTTTTAATGTTTAAACTATGTAGACATCCATTGTGCTACACATCAATATAACAATCAGTGTTTGAAGTCTTGTATGATTATTTTTACTTGAATTTCAGTATAAATAAAATGAAGCCTATTTTAAGTAAACAAAACCTTTATTTGTTTTTATGGAACTTGTGTTTCAGTATATATTTATTAATGCCAACAAAGTTGATTTTCTTTTTATACTGAAATTCAAGTTATAAATATAGTACAAGAGTCTTCAAACATAGTTTTGAATGATGTTTGTTTATTTTATTTGTTCATTAAATTGATGTAAAGGCACAAAGGTTATCCATACAACAAAAGAGATGTGTTTACAGAGAAGGGTGATGCAAGCACAATGTTTACCTAGAAGTGTTTGGATGGGCTTGCATTCACTAATCTTGCTTTGTCTCATAATTAATTTGTAAATTTCAAAATTCTATATGTATTTAAATTTATTTTTTTAACACTTCAAATAAATTGAACAAATAAATTTCTAATAGGTTAGAATAAATAATATTTAAGCTAGATGTTTTAATATTTATAAAGATATTTTAGTAGAAATTTAATGATTTACTATTCAAGTTGTATTACTTAAATTGATATTTTATATAAATATAAATGTATACATAAATAAATTAATAAATTAATATACTAGCATTGGAGCTTCTTTTTTATTTTTTTAAAATTAGTATACTAAAATAAATTATTAATTTAAAATTATGATTCAAATCATTTTTCTCAACTTGGAGTTCATAGATACCTTCCTCCCATTTAAAGTCAACTTTAATATGGTGACAAATGCCACACATGAAGTGAACTCAATAATTTCAAAAGTAGAAAGAATCTTAGTCCTTTTTAAGTCAACCCAATCATAATTCTATTATAAAATTATAGTTGATTTATTCTAAAATAAAAATCACGATGACAGCTTCAGAAATACATATTCCCGAATATTGCTTTAGTCTAGTGGGCCGTCCACACGTCATCGAAGACGACGACGACAAAGACCACAGCGAAGACGACGTACATGCATGCATGCGAGAAAAAAGCTTAAACAGATTGACGACGAACGACGACAACGAACGAGGAAGAAGGCGGTGAGAGCAGGAGGCGAGAGCAGCGGAACCAGGTTATGAGCTGTTGCGAAGGCGCTTTCACCGCAAGGAAAGAGTAGAATCAACGCTAAGCATGAATAATTTGTTGTTGTAGGAAAAAATCGCAAGTAGAATGCGCAACCTACAGTCTGGAATGTGCATTATTTCACCGCCTGCATTCCCCAATTCACTCTGGGCCCCAGCTTCTCACCCTGGCCCTTCTCGTAACGGTGGTGCAGCTGCTGCTGCTTGCGAGGTGTGCAGCTGAATGTGAGCCGAGTCCACACTCTGTTTAAGCTTTTTTCTCGCATGCATGCATGTATACTTGCTTGCTTGTTTGCGTTGCGTTGCGTTGCGTTGCTTTGTGCTCCTCTGTTGCACTCATGTCGCGGATTCTCCTCCCGAGAACTGGCGGCTCTGGGCCCATCGGGATTGAATAGACTCGTTCCTCGGCCTATTTGGCTTCTTTTGCCCTAGTTTCTACGCTGGAAGTCGTGGGAGAATCTGATGTGGGGGAGTAGAAGTAGATACGTGATGGCTTCTCACGTTGTGCGCGTTGAATGCGACCAAACGGTTGGGGTCGCGTTTGGGAAGCTGCTGGGGTCCACCCTCCCGCCCTTTCCGATTCCTCCTGGAAGCTCAGAATTACTACTGTTCTGTTTACTCTTCTTCTCCTTCTTCTTCTCTCCACAACGACTCTCGTTGAATCCTGCGCGTTAGGTGGCAACTCCTGTTTAACGTAGTTATTTTCCCACCTGGGTGACATTTGCCAAACAAGTAAGACCTCGTGCAGCGGTAATAATGCGGATGACGCGTAGAGCTTGACATTGACTAACTGCGTTGGTGGGACCGTTTTATAATTCTCGTTTGAATCTCTTTCTTTCACCAAGGTTGAGCTGGGCACATGATCAGTATTGCTCGCCCTGTAACAGCTGTTGTTTGGACATGGCAAACCGATGAGAGTTTCAATCATAGAAAAGACAATTGGAATGATCGTGTGAGAAATTAGGGTCTTCTCTGACAACCCAAATTCTGCTGGAGAGTTCTCGTCTCCGATGAGGTTGTTCCTGATCACCCATGCATGGCATCACAGTAACCCCTCAATGCAATTAGAGCGTCGGAATTTTTCTTGATGGCGAGCTGGCTGAATGTAACCATGATGCGAGAATCGGTAACACAAACGCCAAGTGCGAATGTCTAAACACACACTCCAACGCAGCTCCAGAGTGTAAGAAAATGGTTTGCCGACAGGAACAACGGGCCAACAATAGTGAAAGGCTCATGCCACTATTGGGAGAGCAAAGACAAGCAAAATCCTCCGTATCCACGCACTTTTTACACACACAAGCACACACACAGGTGCTGGGGGAGTGAGCCTTGATCACGTCATCGGTTTGTTATTATTTTCTTGCTTTCCCCGAAATGAGTAGAATATTCGTTCAAAAATCAACACCCTTCTAACTGGCAAACAGTTACAATACTCAAGCACAGATTCACTACTTTGCAATTTCAATGGTTACCGATAAAAGTCCGATTCAATCATGGCCGCGAATTAATGCAATTATGTGTCTGTATAAAAATTCTCGCGCAGACCCTCTCCTGCTAAGTGAATCAGTCCCAGCTTCTGGAACTGGGCGAAGACTGTGTGCTCAACAGTTTCTTGAGACGTAGCGTTAGATTGAAGCGCTGCGGAACTCTTATTACCCAATTGGAAGGGTAATAGTATTCATGACCACGAGGGTTAGAACAACCGTTTGTGGACTCGAGGTGCGATTCGTCGACTCGGGTGTGTGTGTGAGAGAGAGTGTGTGTGAGAGTGTGTGTGTTCGTGGCATGAAAACGTACGCGACTGGATGAGTCTTGGCGAGGATTGTTGGAATTGAGCTCAATCAGCTTCGTTATTGCTAATCAGACGATACACTTGGAGAAGCCTGAACTCTAGAAAGGCATCGTCGCGACACTGCAGCAGCTCAGGATAGGTGCGGGTAGAGCCGCGACGACGAAGAATCGAGAGTGTGGCGAGGTTTTTGGATTTGTTTTTTTCATTTTTTTCTTTTCTTTTCTTTCTTTAAAATAGTTTTATTCCTATATGGTGGGCGAGGGAAGAGATAGCTGCCCAAAGTCGTTTGACTAGGGGGTTGAGAGAGCGTCACTGTTTGGGGAGTTCGTGGTCAGTTCCAGTGGTGGGCCTTCAGGTGGTGCATGGCAACGCGGGCAGGAAGAGGGCGTTTGGAGGTACCTGATAGCTCGCTGCTTGTGGTCATATAAATAATTTTTTGAACGTGTTTTGTAGAGAGAGAGAGAGAGAGAGAGAGAGAGAGATGGCGGGGCTTTAGGGCGGTGATTGCAGAAGAATGCATTAATTTTCTGTCCTGGCGAGAGGATTGCGAGGGAGCAGCGATATTGTGTTGAAGTGGAGGAAATTGAGCTGCATTGAGAAGTGAAGAGAACGCGAGTGATAGGTTCAGAGCTGGACTTTGAGGTTGGAAGAGCGTGTTTGAAAGAGAAGGTGGTGTGATCGGTATTTTTGTTTCTTACGATCTCGCTGTAGAATACTATTGAGATTCGATTGCTGGGGGAGGGGAATACCGCAGTTCTGTCTTCTTGACGAGCAATTGTGTACCGGACGTGTGCATCTTGGTTGCCTGCATGGGAACGATCATTGTGATTAGCATAACTTGTGAGTCGGTAGTTTTTGATGTTATGGCGAGTTTGTCGAGAAGATTAACGGTGTCGGGGTGAGAATTATTTCTCTGACATCTTGGATACTAGAGCATGAATTGTATCTCATTTGTTGACGGTGCGTGCACTGGTGGAGTGACGCTCAAGCTATTGTGGTTTCGGTGACGAACGCGGATGAGAGGTTCAGAAGTGTGCCAATGGGTTCATGTTCGAGCGTTAAGTTTCGCTAGTTTCAGTCGATCGGTACTCTTACATGTGGACAAAGACGGCTTTGAAATTCCTCTGTTTAGGTTTGCAGCTTCCACAAATTAGTCAGAGCAGCATCAAACTTCAAAAACTTGCAATTGCAGAAAATGCGCTCCGATTCCTGTTTCTGGACTTGATCACGTGCGGATTTCTGGCTTAATTCTGGAATAATCATTGCACTTTTGTGTGATAAACCAGTCGGTTTCAAGAAGTCGACATATATAGGTAGACATTTGGAGTGGTTGGATCTTGGCAGCAGAAAGTTGTCAAGATGACTCCGAAGTTTGATTTTGTCGATTGGTGGAGCAAGGAGCAGCATCGAGGGACTCCGGTGGTGGTTAAGATGGAGAACTCGAAGTATTCTCTTCTGGAAATTGAGAGCCCTACGAAGTCCAAATTTGAGGACCACCAAAACAAAGGGAAGCAAGGGAATGCCAAGCAACTGACGTGGGTGCTTCTTCTTAAAGCCCACAAGGCGGCGGGTTGTGTCGCTTGGGTGGCATCAGGAGTAATGTTGTTGCTTGCCGCGATCAAAACACGTCTCATTCTTGGCCAAGGGGTGGCTCAGCAAGACAAAAGCAAAGGAAAATTGTTTAAGGCCATCACAGCTTTTTTAATGTTTGCTGTGCTGATGTTGTGTATGGAAGTGGGAGCTCATGCTTTGAGTTGGCACTTCACAACGCCACACTGGCCTTCTTCTATTGGTATTCGGGACATCCCCCACGCCGTTTATGTTGGGTGGATGTACTCTCGTGCCAATTACATTGCTCCTGCGCTGCAAAAGTTGACGAACTTCTGCATCGGGTTGTTCCTCATCCAGTCCGTGGATCGAATTGTATTGTTTTTGGGCTGTGTGTATATCAAGTGGAAGAAGATTAGACCTGTTCCGGTTAATCCATCCCTGGAGTCTGACGACGCCGAGAATCCCGACGGCGGCCACCCCATGGTTCTTGTACAGATTCCGATGTGTAACGAGCGCGAGGTTTGTTCTAACCCAAGTTCTTCATGCCTTCACAATGGAGGTACTCTATTTTTCAGCATACTACAGTACTGGGTCTGCTCGTCTAGTCTGTGTAGGCGCTTTTATCAGTTTAAGGCGGTTAGCGATACAGATGAAATGATCCATTTAAATCATCCGAAGTATGAGGACCGCAGCTTCACGCCATGTGTCACTGTTTTGGCTTCAGCAATTGGTGAAGATAAGCAAATTTACTCGACGATTGATTGACTTTGAGAGTTAGCTAGTTGTGCGTTACAACTTGTTTCCAGAGAGGTAATTTCCTCGACGATTTGTTCGAAATTTTCGGGTTTAAAATTAAAAGTTGGTTTCGTTGTGTGCAGGTATATGAACAATCCATAGCCGCCGTTTGTCAGCTTGACTGGCCACAATCTCGCATACTCATTCAGGTTTTGGACGATTCTTCGGATGTAGAGACACGCTTTCTGATAAAAGGCGAAGTGAATAAGTGGCAGCAGAAGGGAGCAAACATAAAATACAGACACCGGCCTGACCGCACAGGATACAAGGCTGGCAACATGAAGTCAGCCATGCAGTGTGATTACGTAAAGAATTACGAATTTGTCGCTATTTTTGATGCAGACTTTCAGCCCAAGCCAGACTTCCTGAAACGCACAGTTCCTCACTTTAGGGTAAGCTCTTGGTTCTCTTAGTCAGCTGATCAATCCAGAATTTTCCGTTTTCCTCAGACGGATATCTGAGCAGCTTTAGTTATTAATGAGGCGCTTTTTTTTTTCGTAAGAATCTCTTGTTGATTTCATTTCAATCAATACCCTTTCACAAGGTTATTTCTTTGCTTTGCTTTGTTTTTGTTTTTGTTTTGTTTTCTTTTGTTTTCGTTGAATCTATGCGTTTAAATTCACTGACTTTTGAGTGCTTGTGAAAACCATCTATTGGTGGTTACAGGACAATCCAGAGCTGGCGCTTGTGCAAGCTCGGTGGTCATTCGTCAACACGGATGAAAATCTTCTCACACGCCTTCAGAACATTAATCTATCTTTCCACTTTGAAGTGGAGCAGCAAGTGAATGGTGCTTTCATCAACTTCTTCGGATTTAATGGCACGGCAGGAGTATGGAGGATCAAAGCACTTGAGGAGTCGGGTGGGTGGCTGGAACGGACTACTGTGGAGGACATGGATATTGCTGTTCGAGCTCACTTGCAGGGCTGGAAGTTTATTTTCTTAAACGACGTTCGGGTCAGTTGTCTTTGTCTTCTTTTGTACATTTCTTGTCCATTAAGTAATCATCTTATCGTTGTGATCCCCCCTTCTGATGTACTTTTGGAGTGTTTTATTTTGTCAAAATCCTTCTGTGGATTTTTGAGTATCATGTGTCTGGAGCATTTGGGATGGTGTTACTGATCGATGATCCGGTGATCTATGTTGCAGTGTCTCTGTGAAGTACCGGAGTCATATGAAGCCTATCGCAAGCAGCAACACCGGTGGCACTCCGGACCTATGCAACTATTTCGCCTTTGTCTTCCAGACATCATTCGAGCCAAGGTGAGTGGCAGTACCATTCGGGGGAGAATGCTGTATGTGACCATTCTTAGGTGCAAGCATTTCTCAAAGTCTCATTGTGAATGTAGAACTAACAGGCAACCTGGTTCTGATGTTCTGCAGATCACGTGGATGAAGAAAGCAAACATGATCTTTTTGTTTTTCCTTCTCAGGAAGCTTATTTTGCCATTTTATTCATTCACACTCTTCTGCATCATCCTTCCCATGACCATGTTTGTGCCGGAAGCAACTCTACCAATTTGGGTTGTGTGCTACATTCCAGCACTCATGTCGATTTTAAATGTGCTGCCGTCACCAAAGTCATTCCCTTTCCTAGTTCCTTACCTGCTCTTTGAGAATACCATGTCGGTGACCAAGTTCAATGCCATGATTTCTGGTCTCTTCCAACTCAGCAGCGCGCATGAGTGGGTAGTGACCAAAAAGACCGGGCGAGCTTCTGAGGGAGAGCTTTTGAACATGGAGAAACTAGCAGCAAAGCCTGCTTCGGCTATTGACAGAGCCATGTCCGAGTCTAACATTGATGCGTTGAAGACAAATAATGCAACAATGAAACCGCTGCTACCTCCTTCAGTTCAAAATCCTACAGAACTTAAGAAGAAGAAGAACCGGCTGTATCGAAAGGAGTTAGCACTGGCTTTCTTGCTGCTTACAGCTTCTGCACGAAGCTTGCTTTCTGCGCAGGGAGTTCACTTCTACTTCCTACTCTTTCAAGGTATAACATTCTTGGTGGTTGGTCTTGATCTTATTGGAGAGCAAGTGAGTTGATTCTTGTGTGCCACAAGATCAAGCCGCTCGCTTTGAAGGTCTCTTAAACCTGCTGTTGATAGATCGGGCGACTAAATATCTATTTGTTGGAACCCTAGTAAACCTGAGAAAAAAAGGTCTTAAGCCGATCTGCATTCTTCTCCACTTGTCTTAATGGAATATCTGAGAGCAGCGAGATTTGCTATCTTCGAATCAACGGTAGTTTTTCTGTTTACTGGTGCGCATCAACTTCGAGGTTTCAGTGGTATCATTGCAATCAAGTGTTGAGCTGGAGGAAGGTGCTAAGCGCTGGGGGTAACTTAGCATCCAAGTGCATGGAGGTTGAAGAGTTTATCATCTAGAACTGCATACTTCTATGGTTGAGGCATGAGGCTTGGAATGTGGGAAAGGAATTGCTGGTGATGTAAGGACAGCAGTTCAGGTGTCTCCAGCAGGGGTATGTCAACCATCAATTGCTGTAAACACCTAATATTCATTGTAGTTTGGCCATTCATTTAGTCTATAGTATTATTTCTGATGCCTCCATTTAGAAGCAGTAGTGGTTGTAATAAAAATTGCGCCTTAGGATTATGTGAATAAATCTTCAGATCTATTTGCACATTACCATTGGAATGTGGCGAAGATTTGCTGAGCATGTAACGTCAGCCATTCTGACCCAAAGGTATTCTGAATTGGAGGTCATTTCTTTTACGGCCATCTGCTTCCTTCGCCATTTCGTCACACTCTTGTGGCAGTAGAGTATGTGAAGAGTATTTTACAACATCTAGAAGCCATAGTTTGATGGAACCTTTAGAAGGAGACTAGATACCAGCGTTTTTGTTACTTCTTTGCATTAATATGACACGTTTCAGCGACTGATTTCCATTAGTGGGTGCCGCACGGCTCGGTAATTCCGAGGCATTACTGTCTGACATATCATATCCTCTCTTTGGCTCGAACGAGTTCTCAACAGCTCTGCAACCATGACAAAATCCCTGAACTAGTGGCGAAACCACTTTCCCCAAGTTTCCCTTACCAGTCATTCTCCAACTCTAATCAACACAGTACTTCGCACACTTGCGACTATTAAATACTAACGTAGAGGTAGTTATGTCTATTGGATTTTCCAAGGCATCGCTGTCTTGGAGGTAATCTGGCATGGTTCCTGTGAGCTAGTTCAACCCCCCACAAGCACATCAATGTGGAAAGGGACTTAACACCACCAGCAGCAGCACTGTGCGAATTATTTGCAACTTCAAATGACTGAGTTATTAACACTTGACGCACACCTCGATGACAAGACACTTCTCTCTCATTAGAATCCAACCCACGTAGAAAACCACCACTGGTGTTGATGGGTTGCCAGGAAGTCTCGCTCCAGCACCATTCTCCACACACAAAGGACTTGAGCTTCTTCGGCACTCTAGCAAAGGCCCTAAACCCTAAAACCTGTTTTCTCTACATGATAATTAGCATCCTGATAATTAGAACACATGATCTTTGTACATGTTTATGACACTATGTTGGGTATGTACACTGTAGGTTTTATTTTTTTATATTGTAATCACAGCAATTTTTCATTCAAAGAAATTATTTTATTAATAAAATTTTAACTGGTATTTCTGTATTTTAATGAGTTCATTAAGTTCATTAATCATTCATTAAGTTTTGAACCTTTGACAGTTCATTCATCTTCATTTTGTAAACCAATAAAATAAAATAAAATATTATAAATTGATAGATCAAATCAAAAGAAGAATAAACTTTTGGCTTGATATAAACATACATAGGGATCAAACCAAAACAACATATCCAAAGAAGTGGAGAACTTAAGATATATAAGTACAGTAGGAACCATGCAAGTATCATCTTCTTACAATGAAAATACGAGAATAAGGAAATTCATTCCAAAAATATAAATACCATAAATAAGTATAAGAAAATGACCTAAATCCGACAAGCCGTAAACGATCTTAAAAACTTCAGTTGTTTCTGAAAGTTGTCTATGACAACAGTACAATATTCTAATTTAAATTTTTCTTTAAAAATACGAAAGAAAATCCAAAACAATTTACACAATAAAAACGAAAAGATCATATTACAAGGAGGGGTTTTTGACTTTGATTGATTTTAGTTGTTTCTCTATTTTGTGAATAAATTAAACAGCTCTCGATCAATCCTAGCAGGATCCCTCCCATCTGTTGCAAATCAAGACTTCAGATTGCATCAAAGTTAGTCTTCGATCAAGCGCTACACATTGAAACGTCTCTCCCATTGAGTTAAGTTGGTTTTGTTTCTGAAGAGTTCAATCGTAAACTCCATCTCATTTCATTAATCTACACACTAATCCCCATTGCTGTGTTCAGGATTTATAGCACATTTCTAGCTCCTTGCAAATACCTGCATCAGTTTATTTCTAGAAGCGTTGACCGATTTCTTTGCAATTGCCGTTGAAGTCTACAAGTATATCAGTTGGGTGGCGTTCAATTCATCAGCATTAATTTAGTGAAGGGTTAGTAACGAAGACGTAACTAAATGACCATGGTATAGTTGCTGTCTAGTGTCGTGGACCGGAGGAAAATCTAGATACAGTGACACGGGAATTTTGTTGTGAATGGTATACATACTGCGACTGCTTTACAGAAGTGTGTTCTTTTTTTCTTTTCATTGCGAGTGCTAGTGAATGGTTAGTTGGAATTGAGCAAAATCGTTGTCTTTTATCTACTGCTGCTACCTTGCAGACGATCATACTATTCAACGGCTTCAAGAATAGTGGATGAGGTTTCGTGATCCTACTAAGAAGAGAAACTCGAACAAGGACTACGGATGGTACTTTCACGGGTTAGACTCCATATCCAAGATCAGAATGACTCATAACACTGATCTTACACTGACACTATCTCCGATTCCGATTGCAAGGAATGACAACATCAACACATTCTATCATAGGGTCTCAAAATTTATTGGAGGTAGTACCGAATCACAGTGAAAATCAGATCCCATGAGCCATTCCGAGAAATGATAAATGTGGTCAAACTTTATCGAGCCACAACCTTGTGCCGTGACCAAAACATATGTACAAGTACTTCTGCGTGATCGATAACAAGGATTGTTAAGAATGGTGTTATTGTAAGTCTATGTAGGGAAGTTATTGCCCCAGCTACACATTCCTACAAAAAAAATTGTTTTCAGTAAAGGAACAACACTGCAAGTCCCATGAACGCAACGCCAGCACTTGAAGCCATGGTTCTTGCAGCGTCGGACTCGAGAGGGCTGGGTCCTGGGGCCATTCCAAAAGGCACAAGAGCGTCGGCGGGAGCATCCGCAGGGCTCTCCACGGGAGCGTCAGCTGCAAAAGTCAATCGCACACATTGTCATTTGATAATCACAAAAATCTGCTGATCCGCTCCCACTAGTTTTCTACCCTCACAAGACATTGGAAACTGGGTTGGAATTCAAATGAACAATATACTAGATTGTCACACGATTCACGAGTTGTAGCTCTTGATCAGACCTGGTGATGCGATCGGAGATCCCACGGGACTGGACTCGGGAGCCACCTCAGGAGCATAATACTCAGGAGATTCAACTGGTGCATATTCAGGAGATTCAACTGGTGCATATTCGGGAGATTCAACGGGTGAATATTCGGGAGCATAATCTGGGGAGTAATCGGGAACCACGGGAGGGGGGTACATCGGAGCAATCGATTGGGGCGCGTAAGTAGGAGTTGTGGCTGCAGGCCATTGTGCCGAGACTTGCCCAAGCACCAGAGTGAAGAAGATCACGACACAGATCGAACGAGAAGGTAAAGCCATCTCGATCCAAAGAAGTGGAGACAGATCTCACTTGAAGAGCGCAAACGGGTTGTGTTCGGAACTGCGACCTCACCACTACAATTATGAAAACACAATCGTAGAACTCTCGATAGAAGCGCCGTCGTAAACACCCTATTATCAAGAAAAAAAAAAAAAAAAAAAAAAAAAAGAAAAAAAAATCGACTCTGGAGGAAGAGGAGATTCACAGCGACAGCTTCTGGTTACACACGAATGGAGAACGGTGCTTCTGAATGGAGAATGCTACTGCTCATATGCAATCTCCGAATCCCAGAAATAGACGAAGCGGCATTCGAACGGTACATCCGTTCATGCTAAATTTGGTCACACGAAGCACGTGTCAGTGTGGATCTAGTCTGGCTTTGTCCACCCAATGAAAGCTTTCTGCATCACTAACAGTCGGTTCCCTCAACAGTCATTCAATTTGATACTGCCAAGTATAACCGAGGTGATTAAAAAATGAATTCAAATTGCACAGAGCACTTGCTAGCTGGATTCCAGCTTCAGCAACAATAACCTTCACCACCCTTCCCAGCACTTGCTTAGGTAGTCCACTGGTCAAATGGTTTGTTTCCAATAGCAAGCTGGAAGAGATGCATCTTACTCATTCCGGTAAATTTGACGTAAAGCAGTTAAACTTTCTCTTACGAAAGCGAATTATAAAGCAGAAAAGAATTAGTAGCCCCAGAATTATCATTCACCCCATTGACAACTGGTTGCAGTCCATTTACAGCGTCAAATTTATGGGAAGTTGTAGATATATTATGTGCATAGTTTCGTTATTGTTCACTTCGGTTCACTTTCTCAAGTTTCTTGTGCTGCGAAAGAATCTCGAGGAGACAGTTCTACACACATGAGGTGACTACAGCATGATGTGAGTGCTAGAGCTTCTTACATAACAAAGAAACGGATGGAAACATTTCATAAACAGCATATACCTTGCGTAGAAAGAGTAATAAAATTCAACAGTTTCGTTTGACACAACATAAAAGTGTGCACATTGGAATGGAGCAGTGGTTCAACTATGAAATTGATTTTTAGTTGAGCAGTAAGTATGGGATAAATACTTGTTGTTCTTCGAAGCTTGCAACAAATTGAGTGGGACTCATGATTATCTCTATCTCATCTGAAAGTTCGACAAAAATTTAGAGACGTTTAATTGAACTCCACTTAATTAGAATGCAAAATAACCCATAATCTCTGATAGACAGTGAAATTAGGTGTGAATTCAATACAGGAAAGGGAAGCCAACTTCACAAATTTGGTTAGAGTTTCAACACAGTTGCATGCCCTTAAAATACCTTGAGGTTTCTCCGAATAAGAATATAAAAAAATAACCACACTAATGAACAGAAAAAATGATACAGATATCTTCGGCAGTGAGCCTGAAACATAGCCTATGTAATCACCAAAATGTGGTGTGTGACACGCTAAAGAATGGAAGGAAGTAATCATGTTCCTGCCTATAATCCGCTTATACAACCTGCAAGGCCTCACTCTGCACTACTGCCATGGAAATCTTGCACTGCATAAACCGCAGGAAGTTGCTCTTAAACTTGGCACCACATGCCATTAATCAAATATGAACTGAATAAAATTCCTTAGGGCTTATCAGCAGCGGAAAAAAGCAGTAAGTCTCATGAACACAAAGCCACCATTTGAGGCCATAGTCCTGGCCATCGCCGGATTCAACTCGACTTGACTCTGGGGTCATGGCTCATGTCTCTGGAGCATCTACTGGAGCGTTCACAGAGCTCGCTATGGGAGTGTAAGGTGCGAAGATCAGTAGCGCACACTGTCAGTCGATAATCACAAAATATGGGGCTCCTCCATTTGTTTTCCCAGCCTCACTAGAAATCCGAAACTGGATGGAATGCTAATGGACATCCCACAATGTCATACGATCCGAGAGCTGAATCCGAATGTCAGACCTGGCTCCGCCATCGGAGCGATTGAGGGGTGCCTTCAGGGGACTGAACATGGGAAGCAACAAGGAGGCCATTTTTGGAGCGTCCTTGGGAGAATGCGTGGGAACCGCTTGAGGTGCAAAAACTGGAGTACCTATTTTGGGAGCATACGCAGGAGCTATGTCTGAAGCCCATTATGCAGTGACTTGTCTATACACCAGAGTGCAGAAAATCGCAACGCAGATTGCAGCTCCTACCACGGTATTGCGACGAGCTTTTACTATGGTTTTAACACGGAACCAATATAAATTGTTGGTGTGATTAAAACTTCTGTTAAAAAATAATGGAGAATTTCACAAGAAGCACTCTGGCATTCCACTAACACTGCAATATCAACTATGCTGAAAGAAGATACACAAAGGGGGAGGTAGAGATTCACCGGAAAGCTTCGTGCCACAATGTGAGGTGGAAGCTGTGATTTCTAGAAGATCAATTACTTACGTGAACTATCACTACACATGAGAATGAATTCAAAATTGATAACCGGTTGTGATTCTTAATTCAATGTCGAATTCTCACCTGCTAAAGCATGTATTGACGTGGCGCTCAAGGGAACAAAGCGATTCTATTTGTCGGGCTTTCATGCCACACGTTTCTCGGGAATCTGCGGTCTCGTTGAGTCCATAATTAAGAAGGCCATTTTTACATTGATGCGACACATCTTACCATGTCAATTCCCTGCAATTGTGTCCCTAAATTTGAATGCTTCCCGATTTTGTTTCGTCCGCAATATTGCAGTGCTCATCGAGGGAGAAGGAAAGAAGGAAGTCCTATGGATACTGTGTCAGCATTTGAAGCCGTGTTTCTGGCAACGCCGGATTCAGTTAGTCTGGGGTCGGATGTCACTGATGAAGCTTCTGGAGCCCAGATAAGGGCGTCCTCGAGACTAGTGTCGTCAGTGTAAGCAGAAAGAAACAGTAGAAGACCACATTTATTGAAAACCATAGATCCCAGGACATGCATCCACTTCTCATTCTGGGTGCGACATATCATCAAAAACTTCGTCTAGATTCAAACAGACCAAATTTGAGATAGCACATACTCCAGATAGAGGTTGATGATATAACCCAGAGGTGAGATTGATGCCCAATCAGGCTCTCCAACGGGGGACATCGTGGACGCCTATTCGGGAGGGTGATTAGAAGGATGAACAGGCACCGCTTCTGGTGCGTAATTTCGGAAGTCCATCGTGTGTACAACTACTTGAGAAGAGGACCACAAAGACAGATTGCAGATCTCACCGAGAAAGTGTTGCTACCAACGGTATCTGCCATCTTGTTTGGTAAAACTTGATTTCAGAAAACGTAACAAACTTTATCTGACGAATCTATACACTGAATGCAGCCGCAGATCTTGTGGAACTGCAACACTCTCGATCCTAAGCGCGGTTCCTAACAGTACCATTGCACCGCATATCTCAGCCTAGTCTGAAATAACGAAGCTGGAAACAGACATTCGACGTCCCAACGTAGTGGCTACGACAGGTGCCGCCGCTGACATACTCCTGGTCAAGCCAAGAAAAATATAATCGTAGGCCGCTGTATTCAAACGGCGCGTTTCTAGGCACTTCAAATCAACCAAGAGATATTAGCGTGCGGACAAGGTGTCCCACCGTCATAGCTGTTTCCGTTCTATAGATCCGTTGCGTGTGGGTTTTTCTCGCTTCAGTAACCGCAACACTACGGTCTTTAAAACTGTAAGAAGTTTTCAGAGATGGACACCCTTCCATCTTCTAAGTTTGGTCTTGTTACGTTTATGCTGCTCATGACCGTGTTGTATGTATTTAGAAACTTTGCAGTTAATGTTATCCCATGTTGTCGGATGCACACCATGCCGATGCTAATTTTCATCATCAGATTCATGAGACTGTGTGCCCAACTTTGAAAAGGGCTTAATTCAGGGATTCCTGATGCTAGCTCATCTATGACGTGGAACTACTGTCCTCCCACTGAGGTGAAACTTTGAAACCCAAGATCTGGGATTTTATTCTAGGTCATTCAAATTAATAGCAAAGAATTATGTCCCCTTCCGTTCCAACAACATATATAAAAAAACAAAAAATTAGAAATAAGTTTCGGCATTAACGAAGAAGTGTACCGATAACGATTTCTAAAATGAAAGTATGTTATACGTAATATATTTTAAATTCATTTTTAAATGCTGATTCGGGAATGTCTTTTTTTCTCGCCCGTAGCTGTCGCAGTGAGAGGTGACAAGATTTTCTTAGATGGGTAATTCGAAAATGAGGATGACAAACCTCTTCAGGTTCAGAAACCAACATGTGTACAGCTGTATTGGCATTGTACTGGCTCCGAGCTTTTCTATTTGTAAACCATTAAATTGTGCTTCATAAATGAGAGGAGACTCATGTCGTTAATGAATTGAAACAATTATGACTTATCTAGATTGATGATTCGAAGATTGTGATGGAGAGTAGGACGATCAAGTTCATAGTGTTTATATTTCATCAAAAGTAGACAGGTTCTACGAATCACGCTATGAACTACTTTATTTGAATAACCACAGAAACAATCTAGATCAGACCCGATGGAGAAGAACATGTATCGATCTCAATCCTTGGCACCAAGCCAGTCTTATTCTCAGGACTAGTGACTTGCACGAGTCAGAATTTTATTCGACAATATGCCTGTGAGGCGATCAATGTAACAACCACGTTTTCACCGTGTTCTTTTATCTACTCCGACACAGACCCTGGCAAGGATGCATGCCTAACGTCATTTATTCGGTACTGCCAAGAAAACAATACGTTACAGAATCCCCGCTGCGTTGTCCTAAATCCATATGCTGTACAGCTTGTGCATTGCGTGATCGCGACCTAGGTATTTCAATTTTAGTGTCGTCGTCAGTGGAGCACAAATGCTGCGAGACTCATGCACAGAACGCTGGCGAGCGCGGCCGAATTTCTGGAAGCACTGGATGTGCTTGGGCTGGGTTCAGGAGCCGGTACTGAAGGCTCGGGAGCGTTGGTGGGTGCCTCTACGGGGCTCGGCTCAGGAGTGGAAGCTGCAAGAATGAGCAGTGCACAATTGTCAATCACAAGCTGCAAATTTCACTGCCTGCGCAACTAGATTTGTGTGACCAACAAATATCAAATCAGAAAATCGGCCAGGAACATGTAGGAACCAAAGCCAAGATCGACACGAAATTGAAAGGGGAGAGCCCAGCGATCAACCTGGGGGTGCGACTGGAACCACTGCAGGTGTCTCCGCAGGAGCACCCACGGGAGACTGCACGGGTGTTGTCTCGGGAGCATATTCTGGTGGAGAGTACACCGGAGCCAACTTGGGAGCGTAAGTCGGGGCACCCGTGGGCCACTGCGCACTGGTTTGTCCAACTAGCAGAGTGAAGAACAACACCACAACACAAACAGAAGTCCTCATCGACATGGTAATACGAAGAGCAAAAACAGCCATCTAAAGACAAGTTCAACAGCGACAATTCTGTATCAAAACTCAGTGCCTAACAAAACTAGACACCGAACTCCTAACCCGCGCTTGGTGGCGTACAAACGTTTACAATGCAGTGAATGTTGCAGCAGAACGAAGGAGGAGGAGAAGTAGAGAGAGAGCGGCGAAGAAGAGGGACCACCACAATACAAGACCCCGGGGACTGCGAGCTCTCACAACAACCGTGGATAGAAACCAAGCATGCCCACACCATATAGATTGTCTTGAGGTCCAAAAACAGGACCCGTAACGTCCAGCAGAGAAAAAGTGCGACCGAAAGGTGCCAGATTTGGAAGGCGAGCACCGTGCAATCCTGGTTCCTACCGCCATGGATCGATCCAGCTACCGTCGCCCATCGGATCCCCCAATGCTTGCTCGCATTTCGGCGGAACCCATAACCGTTCCGCCCCGTAACCGTTAGGCGTTGCCTTAGCTTGCCCGCATATCTTCGGAACCTATAACCGTGTTCGTCTGTAACTGTGGGCGTTGGAGTTGGAGCAAGCGCCACCACCTCGTACGTGCACGGCGTTTTTCACCTTCTCATTCGTTGGATCTGAACTTCATCCATCCATCTGATTTCATCGAATTTGCTGTCTACGTTTCGTCATAAATAGTACTTCATGATTGGAATTTAATCTAAAAACTAATCTAAAAAGCCGAATTAGAGTTGCTTTATTATGCTTTACTATGCGTTATTTACTAAAAAAAATATTTTAAAATCTTATGAACAATGTTAATTGTAATATGTTAATTAGTTATTTATTCATCTATTTATCTAAATTTACAAAGAATATATTTTACAAAATAAGAGTCTACAATTTGTACAAATAAATAAAGGTGATACTATCAAATTAAGTAGTATTGAAAGCATTATGTTTTCTTTTCTGCAGATTAGCCCATGATGAGACTTTGCAAGGTTTATTCTACAAATGAGTATCAGAAAATTGACTGTGTTGGTATGTTTGTGCAACAAAGTGTTGGCAATATCCTACCCAACCTAGATTTAAATAAATGATGAAATATTTTAATCTTCTTAATTTTGTTTCGAATGTTCTTTCTATGCTACTATTATCACATATACATACTTGTATATAGTCGATTATATTAATTACTATTATTATCTGATGGGCCTTGCACACAAGTGTGTTATTTTTATTTTAGGTATTCTAGTGAATAGCTCTCACCCTATTCACTCAACCCAAAAATAAAAATAAAAATTTGACTGAACTCCAAACTGCTGACACCATAGCGCAAGAACTGATTGCAGCAGTGCTACATGTGATGCTGTGCAGATTGTAACAGAACATGGGTTGGTTTGTAACTTGATAGACAAGATGAAGCTGTGCAGATGAAGTCCCTTCGCCACAGAATAAACACTAACAGCAGTAAACGTTTTGTTTGCTGTTGCACTCGTTGTGTAGAGATTGGCTTTATCGGAAAATTGAAACCACAAATTGGTGTGCATTGAAGAGCACAGGATAGCTGGGTCAAACTCATTCTCGCTGAACTGCAGATCTGAGTAATGCCGAGCTTGCTTAATATACTCTCAAAGGATATTGTTGCAGGTTTCGTTGAAATCCTGAGATCTGGACCTGTGGGTAGTAAGCAACACACTCTCGTGGAGCTTCTGGGAGATAGATTGCAATGAGGTCTTGTACCGAGGATTTTGAACTCTCTTTAAGCTTAACGTTGCTTCAATTTGCTGTTGAAAGTATACAAGGCAACATCATCCAATACCATAGAAGCAATATTAACCCCATGTTCAAAATATGAGATTGTAATGGTCAAAACCCTAAACCCTAAAGCCTTTGAAGACCTTGCAGTATGGCACAGGATACAGAAATTGAATGTGTACCAGGAAATGATGAATGTTTCAATGTGGGAATATTTTGGTTTAAGTGACATCAATATTGTTGGTGCAATTTATTTTTGTTGCAAAAAAAAAAAGGTGTAAACAAATCTTTATCACCAATGTTGTTCATGATATGTTAATTCTCAATTTATGCATATTTTTTTATCTTGATGCTAAGATAATTTATTCCTAACTACTTTCAACTGGATAAATTGTTCAAATTGTAATTAAATTGTATGCATTTCACAAAAAAAAATTAATATTTTCAAATTATTAAAGACGAGTTATTTAAATTTTATACACAAAAAAAGTATACATGCAACATCCAAGCAAAGTATCTTTGGTTATCAACACCTTCACCTTTTTTTTTTTTTTTTTTTTTTTTTTTTTTTCATACAATGTGTTCAAAGATATTAGATTGATTGTTAATTCAAAAACTGGCACGAGACAAACCTATTCTTAAATTTTTTTGCTGCTAATCTAGATGAAAATAAGGATTATTATTGAAAACAAGGATTATTAAAACAAAGATCTATAGTTGTACAGGTGTAGTTGTTCACATATATATTGAATTCATCTTTTTATACAAATGGAATAAAATTGTTGGATTTGTCATCCTCAATTATTCTATTGAATCCAACTCCAATACAAGACCTAATCCAGGGAATAACATATAAAAAACAAAGATTATTAAAACAAAGATCTCTAAGATCTTTTGTCTTAAGTCTACAAATCAATTAAGGATCCAAAGTTTGTGATCAAGGGAAAATAGAAGAGATATGGTATAACTTTTATTCTAGTCTTTATAAACATCAAAGAGTTTCGAAGCTGAAGCAAATGGCTTACACTCTATTTTTGATGACAATTGAAAAAAAAGTTACAAAATAAATAAAGTCTAAATTCACTAGATCATTGTAGTTGTCTAAACCAGAGTTAGAAATGAATAAACTAAAAACCAACACAGCCTAATGTCTAAATGGAGTAGGGATGAAATTTTAAAAAGGGAATTTGAAATATTATTTAGAATCATCACATTCAAATGGATAGTTGATCTTTGAAAAAAAAGGTAATTTCCACAAAAACAGAGCAAAAAAAAAAAAAAAGAAGAGACACAATTTAAAAAAAAAAAAAAAAAAAAAAAAAAAAAAAACTGGCACCTTAATATCTTTTTGAACACAAAATTTAAAATATTATGCCAAAGATATTTTTTAAATGACAAAAAATAATACACGAGAAAGTAATTCATCTAAAATAAATTGCTTTATTACTCTTAAGGTTTGTATTATATAATATTTCAGTTAATAAATATACAATTAACAACTTTTCTTATTCACATTAGATTCTTCTAAGATTCACAATAAGGTTTTGTAGGAGTTTTAACTTTTTTTTAGAAAAACATTAGGATTAGGCATCCAACTTATATATGTTTATTCTTGTTTATTTTAGTCAAAATATTTATAGACATTGTTATCTAGGATGTTATATATATATTACTATAATTAGAAAACTCACCTAATAAACTTTTAATCAATACACTATTAACTTAATATTGGCAATTAGAAGAGAATTTACTATTTTATTATTATTTCATTACATTAATTTTGTTCCAAGCTTCTAAGATATATTGTTGAAATTAATTGATCTAAATCAATTGCTTATTGAAATTGTAATAATTATTAGTATTTGTAGTAGATTAATTAATTTACATGGACATGAACTAATTTTAACAAGTTTAGTGAATTGTTTAAGATACATATATAAGGAATCAAAACTATATAAGCATTCAAAAGTTGTGACTACTCACCTTCTCCCTTAAATGTAAAAAAACCTCCAAATTTACCAATGTTCCTTTGTTCTTTGATCCACCCAACACACACAAGATGCAATAATTTAAGGCACGCTTCTCAATTTAATCTAAACCCCATTTTTGTCAAAGTCTAGAAAAAACAAAATGTACAACTGGGTTGGAATGTCTTCACGCAGATCTAAACCGAAGACCTTTTGATTCGGAATTGTTGACAACGAGCACCCAAGTTGATATGGTGCCTCGATTTGCGGGGAAGATTACAGGCCAGCTGCACATTAATTACGGTACAAATCGGAAAGTGGAGATGAAGATGAACACAACGATGGAGACTCAGAAAACGTAGCCATGGTGGACGGCAGCACGCGACCAAGGCAACGAGGAAAGAAAGAAAGAAGGAACCCATCAGCATCATCAGCAGCAGCATCATCGCCATTGCATTTTTCTCACCTGCACCTCCTCCACATCCATTGATTCACCATTGGATTCACCTTCTCCCTGCTGCTGCTGAAGGTGATTGTCGGAGGTGGTGTAGGATTCGAGCCCTTAGGCTTCTTCTTCTTCTGCAGCAGAGGGCCGATGAAGCGGATGATGTCGGAGAGTAATGAGCCTGCCTGCTATTTTCTGACATGCTTTTCCTTCGTCTTGACTCTGAGCTCCCCAAGTTGAAGGCTTTCCTCTGCAGTATTTATCATTGAGGTTGAGAGCAGCTTTTTTTGTACCTGGGTTGTTTCTGGGACGATAGATTCTAGCGTGGTGGTGATGGTGGCCGTGGTCGTAATTCAGCGGTGATTGCACTTCGTCCTTCAGTCTGCCCAGACCTTCGTGTATGTTCAAGTGAAGAAAGTCTTGTCTTTGTTGTGGACGTTTAGAGGTCGAGGAACTCGCCCAGAGTGAGCGTGGACGGGTTTTCGCTCGAGAGAAGGTTTCCTGTTTGTGAGCACGATTTCCTGATTGTACCTAAATAGTGTTTGAAACTTCCAACAGGTGGAAGAGCCGAGTGTGGTCATGGCGGCAGGGACAGTGAGAGCTGGCATGGACCTGGCCATGGAGCCAGTGGACGAAGGAGAGTGTCGTAGGAACAGGTGAAGTTCGCGAACTAGGGTTGCCGCTACTGAGTGGAGGCAAGTCAGCGTTACGTTAGAGCCTGCGCAAATGAAGCGCTCGCAAGGGATATTAGAATTGCGCGCTTGATAGCTGCAGTTACAGACACGAACATGGAGTTGCTTACAAGCTCTTCGACAGCCGAAGCCAGGGATTGTGGGTGTATTCTCTAGAGTATGAAACTGGTAGCGGCGAGGGAGAGCAGTCGAACACGATGGCGCAAGGGATGGCTCACAGACAGGCGCTGGAGACAACAACGCTGCCCGGACACGGGATGCGAGTGACAAGACGGGCAATCCTCGGCAGACGCGCTGCGCCCTCCACGCCAGTGCCCAGCTGGAAAGTTTTTAACAACCAACTCTATAATCGCATGGGCAGGGCACTCCCTACGTCGGCGAGGAAACTCGGAGCTTCTCTGTGGGAATTGCAAGATCTCCCTCCTCTGGCGCACTTCCCTGCTTGTGTATATAGTCCTAATTGGATTCCCTACTCGCAAAGAAGTAGTTCGGATTCCATGAGCCCCTACTCCCAACCTGACAACGCGCGATCTCCACCAGGCTACCACCACCATTTGAAGGTTTGTCGGGACCCCATTTTTGGAAAACCCCGTTCCTAAAGCCACCGTCAACCTAGACTTAAATTTCTTTTTTGCCCTAATCCTGGCATTGTCCTGACGGCGAAGAGGTTCTGAACCGTAAAGGTGAACCTGTCAGAGAGATCCTTCATTGACTAACCTCGTTTGCTCGACTCATTGTTCGACTCATTGTTGGTGTTTGCAAATGTAGACTGGATCAAATGGTAGCTTGCAAAGGCATCTGCAGAGACTGCTGAATCGAAGCAACATGGAGACGAATGACACGGTAACTTAAACTTTTGCGAGTGGTCTTGCCGCTTTTGTGGACCGAGTTGCTAATCTGTACGGGAGGATGAATTGAAATTATACACATATTTTTTGGGCGAACAGGTCGATAGGCGGCGAAATGTGCCGTGCGCATTATTTAGTGGGGCGAGGAGGGGGGATGAGTCTACAACAATGACACAGAAGCTGCTGAAGATGTTCAGTCAGCTACGGCTGCTGGAGGATCAGCACAGCGCGGGACTGAGTCTGATAAGCGCGCTGCATGGGGAACTTCTGCAAGTACAAGCGCGAGTAAGGGAGTTGGAGCAGCCGCAGCAGAATGCACGGCGTGAAGTAGAAGGGCTGATGAAGAAGTTCGCTGACGAGAAGATGGTATGGAAGGCGAAGGAGAAGGAGAGGATCAAAGATGCAATGCGGGCAGTGAGGGATGACCTCGAGGAGGAGCGGAGTGCAAGGCAAAGGCTAGAGAGCGCCAACCGGAGATTGACAAAGGAGCTTTTAGAGGCCAAAACGGCAACTGCCAAGGCTCTCCAGGAGCTAGAGAGCGAGCGCAAGGCGCGCCAGCTGATGGAGGAGGTATGCCACGAGCTGGCGCAGGAGACCGGCGGCGACAAGGCCGAGGTGGAGGAGATGAAGCGAGAATCTCAGAAGGTGATGGAGGAGCTCGATGAGGAGCGTCGCATGCTGCAGCTGGCGGAGATCTGGCGCGAGGAGCGCGTCCAGATGAAGTTGAGTGAAGCAAGGTTGACTCTCGAGGAGAAGAGCGCCGCTCTAGATGCCATGCGCGGCGAGCTTGAATCCTTCCTCCGATTGAAACCCGGCGATCCCACCGCCGCAACCTCGGACGACACTGCTCTTAGAGAAGCCCAAGTCCTTCACGATTTTCTGAATGCAATCCAGCAGAACATCGTCACTACCATCTCCAGCTCCTTAATTCTCGACACAGCTCAGTCATCAAGTCAAGTAGAACAGAGATCTAGTCCTAGACACGTTGAGACGGAGACCAGGCCAAAGTTTTACCCCGAAGACTTACCAGATGCGGATTAGTTATTAATTGAAGCTGCGGCCATTGTAAGCAATCTGATATTTGGGGCGATGGTAGAAAGCGGAAACATGGGTATTAGTCCCTCGCCTGTACAGATGATATTCTTAAGAGACGATATTATTTTGTTTAACTTGAAGCAGATCAACGCCATCTGAATTGGTTAATGCGGAGCTGCGCGTACTCCAGATGAACTGGTTGCCAAGCATTTCTGTGAACGTTAGTTTAGTGGCAGTCAAATTAGCATGTAGATTTAGAGAATGCTTTGAGAAACTGGGCAAATGGTAAGTTGAAGCTGCAACGGTTAGTGTGGAGCAGTGCAAGTAATCAAGAGATTGTTTCGGGGTTACGAGAAGCCAATGAAAATGAAGTTTGCTGAAAACGCACATCTTGGAGGTGAACGAAGTCTTCGGAATTACACTTCCTAGAGATAAGAACCATACATTCATGACGTTACGGGACTCATATGTGCATCCGAAAAATAAATTTTCACGATGTTTCGAAAGTGACAATTATGGAGATGTCGAAGTGCCCCACGGCTAGAAAGTAGCAACGCATCATCAATATGTCTCTACGACAATCGTTTTGAGAGGGGTGCACACAACTGTGATATATGTCGATGGCATGCACAAGTACATTACGCTCTAATCAGTAGTTAGTGCATGATTGTGTCACCACCTTCCATCACCGTTGAGATTCTACTGCTAGAGGGCACGGGCCCGGCGAGAGTAAGTTATGCTACACAGATATCTTAACATATTCCCTAATTCAGTTTTACTCTGCACAGCTTTATTGATTGCTTTTCACGCAAATGTTGTCAGACATCACAATGTTCAAAGAAACGGTACTCGGAGTTATATTTGAAGCCTTCAAGGTTGTACTGTCACTACATTAAAAACAATTCAAACTTATCCTCCAAATGGTTGAAAATGTCACCTGTCCATCGAACAACCATTTTTACGAGTTAGCTCAGATCTTGCATCAGATAATGAAGCGATTGACATTGAGAAATAGACTGAATGGAATCCTTCAGAACAACGATTCAAAAAGCTATACTGCATAAAGACTTTACAATACTAACTTGATGAACAAGTAGTTCATGATATCTACTAAACAAAAAGCTATACTGCATAAAGACTTTACAACACTAACTTGATGAACAAGTAGTTCATGATATCTACTAAAGCAGCAATATCGTTGACTCTTCTGATTGGACAACAAGTATAAGCACCTTGTGGCGTTGCATGACATGGATGAGGCCTTGGGAAGAAGTTGCTAGCAGATGACATAATCGATCGCATGGCAAGTCCAGGATCAATCCTCTGATACGTAGCGGTCTTTTCTTGCCTTGAAGAGCAATCTCTGAAAGTGAAGTGAATTAGTAAGAAAATTGGTCGTTTTATCATTTGAGCAATACACAAGGGAATTTGTCCATAACACCAGCATCGCAAATGCAAGAGCAACGTAAATTTGTGTTGCTGCTACGCTGTCTTTTGAAGCTCTAACACGAAAGATGAGGATAGAAAACTCACAGCTAGAATCTGGGTGTACGCTTTGAAGCCAGTAAGGAATCGCGGGTATGTGCTGCTATTTTTATTTTCTTCAACAATTTTACGAACTCGTGGTACAAGATACTTTGCAACCTATGAGATAATCAAGATTTCGAAACTTTGTACAAGTGTTAGCCAAATGGAGAAGACGAGGCATTTGATTGACATAGAAGTGTACGAGAAAAAATGCAGAACTATGCTTAACTTCCTCTACTGTCATACAAAATGTAACTTACCGTATCTGGAGTTTCTGCCAGAACATTTATGAAGAATTTTGCCTGCAAAGAGCAACAAAAACTTATTAAGAAGAGAGTATTTTTGTCACTCTATGTAAGTATATTCGCGATATATCTACACATGAGGCGCAACTAATCGCAAGTGCTCTTGATGATCTAGTGACACGGCTTTTGAATTCACTTGTATCTTTCCAATGTTTAAGTTCATGCACACAAGCTTCAACTGCACACCATGCAATTAAGGACAAGGGTGTTGCTTCTTAACGACCACCATACCTGACGAGTGTCACTCCCTGACATAAGGAGGTCTGTGGTTACCATGCCTGGCTGTTACACACAAGACCCAGAATTGTGGTTAAAATCAGAAGCACTGGCGAGCCACTCGTCAAACATATATACACCACGTGTTCTGTTTACTAAAAATCTGGAAAACAACTGAAAACTGCACTAATCCAAGATTACTAACAGGTACAAATGGCCCAAACCCATTTACCAATGTAAGAGGAAAAGCAATTTACCGATATATTGTGAACAACAACATTCTGAATATTTGCCTGCTTCAACTCTGCCTGTTCAGGTACGGTACCAACTCTTGAGTTAGACTACTAGCCATTACATGCAACTTTAAGGCCGAAAGCAGATACCTCTCCAACTTCTTTTATTGACCACTTTTTCGATTTCTCTCCACCGTTCGAGAAGAGGAGAAGGAAGGGTTACTTTCCGACTTCACCTTCTAGAAGACAATCTACACAAATGAATAACATACCGATTATAGTACTTTATTGTTTTGAGGTCAACTCGGTTAGCTATTCTATCATGATAAGAAAAAGCATGCCCCACATGTCGGTACTTAATCATAGTAACTGTCAATTATGGTAATACAAATCAATGAGCAGTGAATGATCACACCTGCAATGATTTCGTAAATTGTGCAAGACTGCGTTTCGTGGCTCCATAAGCTGCAAATCTGGAAACCAAAAGAAGTCTCTCAGTAGCAGGCAATAAGAGGTTGATATATGATCCATAATTGATTAGAACAACTAACCATGACGCATTTCGAAGCTTTACCTAGGTGTTGGATTCCCATCAGCTCCTGCTCCATCCATGTTGAAGATATGCCCACCCCTACGCTGGTCTCTCATCATCTTGATAGCCTGCTTACCATGGTCCACCATTGCGATTTACTCAATGAGTATACGAAAAAAATCATTCATGTTCATATAGCTTCTCAGACATTGCGTTCTTGTTATATAATGACACTGAAAACCGCAATGAAACTACAGGGTCACACTATCTACTACATGGACGACCAGGACTTTGTACATAAGTACCTGACGGCAGCAGAGCATAACACCGAGGGTATTCGTCTCCACTATCTCCCTGAAAAGTATTCAGCTCAGAACCAAAAGTAGTAGAACTAAAGTTTTGTACGCAGACATTTTAGCACGCGGATTTAGCAAGACCAGCAGCTGATCGTCAACTGGTTGACATGTATTCTCGCCCTGGAAAAACTATTTCAACATCCACTAACTCCATGAGTATCGGCAGTACCGACGCAAGCAACCAGACCACACTTACATGATGTCAGCATCATCTGAGTCTACGAGAGAGTTGTACTTGTACGCATTTGTGCCGGCATTATTTATCTGCCCAAAAGTAGAAAGAATTAACATCATGATCTTACTTGTAATCTTTCATCAAAACCTGAAGTTATTGATGGTCACGAAGCCATCATTCAGAGCAGCCTGATTTTCGACAAACAAAAAGCTTCTCAAAAGACTACACATATAGTTCCAAAATACAATTATAGCAGAACCTCACCCAACAATCTATGTGACCAAGGTTAGACTTCACATAATCGGCTAAAGCTTCGATGCTTTTCGCATCTCGAACGTCGCATTCCTTACCCTGAAAATTTAAGAGACAAAATTAGATTATAGGTTTTGATGCCACCAGCAACGAAGAACTTTAAATCCTTCAAGAACCACATAAATAAATAGAGGAGCAGAAAGACCAACCCAAACACGTTGCTCCCCGAATTGACTCCTCAGCTCTTGCACTACACTTTGAACCCTCTCCTCTGTGGGGAGAAGAAAGCACCACAAAAAATTCAGCCCCCGGAGAATTTGAGGAAAATACTGATAGAAAGAAAGAAAGAAAAGAAAAGTAGGGCAGTCCAAACAATGTCATTACAGAAGCGAGAAGTTGTAATATATTATGTATTCAACATGAAAGTCTACTTTTGAGAGTGAAAAGAAAATGAAAATTGGTTAAAGAAAAGTAGGTACGTGATCTCGAGCAAACAACAACGTTGTCTCCATTCCGAAGAAACTCCTCAGCCAAGGCCAAACCAACACCTGAAATCCAAAAGCTCTAATCACTTGCATTTTCGGAAGCAGCAAGGAAGTATGCGAAACTATGGAAGGGGTGTAAATTGCATAAACTCGTTCGACCAAAGATTATAGGATTCCAATATACATGTAAAGATATTTATGCGTAAATAGGCTGCCTTACCTTTTGTGGAGCCTGTGATGAGCACATTAAAGCGGGACGCACCATCCCTTAGGACAGAGTCAGGAGCGTTCTCTTTGGCAGAGACCATACTACAGCTCACAACACCTGTGCTCCTGCTCCTCCGAAATAGAGCTTCATTAACACCGCTCGACAACTCCCCTCCACCCCAATCCTGCCTCCAGGCTACCGTAGGCCGGAGCTTACACCCTAACACCCCTTCCCTCGACAATACAACCGCTGCAGAATTCTTTCCCAGCACACCCGTAACGTGGGGCGGAGCACCGAGGGCAGGTAGTGTCATCGCCATAGTCATGGCCACTCAGGTAGCCACAACCTCACCGCCTTCACTCCCCTAATTTCTCCCACAATCAACAACAAAAACTATCACCAGACAAAGAACCCGTGAATATGGCAACGGATGCGAATTTCCAGAGAAGAACTCGAGATTCGCGGTAGAGAGCTCCTCCTTCAATCGGAACGTACTAGAAAATCAAGACACTTTATCTATCCAGCTGAAAGTGGGCCACTCCTCAAGATCATCTCCGACATGTCACCGGCCATGTCACCACCCAGTCAGCATAACATCTCGTCGTGCGAGCTAAAAATTACTGTACTCTAATGGCATCTACGGACATTCGATTCACCCTCAGGCTGGCGAGCATTGAGTGAAATGCGAGGATTGTTGACGCCCTGGGGGTCTTTAGTGATGCTTAATGCGCATGTCCGTTCTCTTCGACTTTTGAAAGTCTTGCGTTGGTTTCATTGATTGGATCCATCGGATTCATGCACTGGGCATGACGGAGAGCAATAAGAAGGTCTCTTCGTTGTCATGTTGAGCGGCTATAGTGGGAGAGAGTGAAATGTTGAAGGTGGTGCTGATGGGTTTGGGTGTGGGCAGAGAGTCGCGTTGAGTTCTCTGGTTAGGGTTTTGATCTTTGGGAAAAAAGAGGAGAAGATTCTTTAATAGGGTGGAGCAGGCGTAGACACTACTGTTGGCACAATGTTGCCCACGGTCAATCGGGGTCGCGCCTCGACCGGAGGCTACCGGAATAATTCTGTTCTACCTCAATACCTGCGACGAATTGTTAAGGTGTGTGGTTGGTTGTGTAGAGGGATTGGGCATGGAGTGTGACATTTTTGATCTGTTGATCTCGATTGATCTAGAGGGTGATTACTTTTGGCAGATTAGGATTTCATGGAATCGCCAGCTTACAGACGTGGGCAACTCCTCCCTGACCTCGGGTGAATGTTAGACCCCAAAAACGAGCTGAAAGTCTTGGTACTTGAGTTCTGTAGTTGAGTTCGGGCATATATGAATTCTTGGCAAAAAGAAAACCGCGCAAGCACTGTTTTTAATTGTCCGTTAATCTTTAAAAATCACTCTGTAGATACTCGGGCCAAATTTCACGGTGGTAGTGATGCGAGAATATAGAGGGCTATGAAATCACTTTGGCATTCTGAATTCTGAAAGATACAGTTTTAAGGTTTGTGAACCTTGTGTTAGCATGTGTAAATTTCTTCCATTTTGTTGGGATAAGGTGAAATTCTCTGATGAGTATCGCAGATTTGATAAGTTTGGAGGGTTCACTCGCGTTCTATTAGTTCTAGAAGGATAGTTCACAGCTGCAACAGGGAAAATTATTTCACTGATTTATCTGAATCATTTCAGTAGGAAAGAACCCGGATGATTGACGATTGCAGAATCCGATTGACAGTTGAGGGTACCTTGACAGTCAGCATCTTATTGTGGATAGTAAGAGCGTCTTTCTACAAAAATGTAAGAACTGATTGGGACTGTGGATGATTTTCAGTACAAACAAATGGACATGGAGTACACCTTCTGGCAAATGCTTCACCTTTGCACATCACCCAAAGTTGTGTAAGTGCTCTGTAGGCTGCATAACCTTCAAAACGATGAACTATCTGTTTAGTTTGGCATGGATGTTGGGGTATGAGTTAGGTTTGATGCCGCTGTTCTCATTTTTACCTCACTGACATCTATGAAAGGTGCTACAGATCCGAACTTAAGATCACATAAAATAATAGACTCGTATTTCTTATCTAGTAATTGAACTTATGTCTGCAGGTACCAGCAAACGAAGTATCACAAACGTAAGTGCTCAACAGAGTTTGTTTTTACATTGTCCTGCAACAACGTTTTTGACACAGAAGCTCATACCGAGCAATATGCTTTGAAATCAGTGATTAGTATAGCAGTCATGTTGTAATTAGTTGTCCAGTACACCCTAGCCTGGAGTTCAGGTTCAAGTGTCTAGCAAGAAGATTGTCCTGTAGTATGCAGTATTTCTACTATTTCTTGCGTCACTTTCGAAATTGCAGGATTTTATCTGCAAGCTTTGATGAAGGGGACATCTCATGCAGAGCATTATGCCTTGCGTTGATGTCGGGTTAAAATCTCAGTTGTTTCCGAGTTTGGGAGGAAACGATTGACATGGTGGTGCTAGCACATTTGTACTGTTGAATGCAGAGACAAAGAATCAGTGGGCACGAGATGATCCTGCATTTGTGGTTATCTGCAGTTTTTTATTGGCAGTGGCAGCTACAGCGTTCTGTGCAGCGTATGTTCCGTTTCGGACCCTTCTGTTCGAATGCTTTGCTGATTGCCGCTAGGGTTCACCCACGCAACTCCGTGGTGCCATTTTTTCTGAAATGTAATTTGAGCCTTGGAATGGTTGCGAAGCATCAGTCTGTAGTCGATCTTAAGAAGATTCCAAATAGACCTGTCGACAGTAGCAATTTATGGTGGAAGAGCTGTGAAGATTGTTGGGTTTGTGTCCCATAAAATATTGCTCTTTTCGGATTTTGTTGAATTTCTCTCCCAGGTAGATAATTAATCAGCTAATGCTTTGGGTAGCAGAAAATTGCCGTATTCTTGCTATCCGCGAATCGATAGATATTTGTAGGAGTATTTACACAGTAACCTAAGTGCAGGCTGTTTATCTGCTATCTTTTCCACTGACGAGGCCATTTTGGTGCGCTTCAGGTATGGACACAGCGTGGCTCAAGCAACCTTCACCGTCGTATCCGTGGTCTTCATGCATTTTTTTCTTGTTGGAGTCTCTTTGGCTTCTATCTGCTGGTAAGCTTCCGTTAAAGTCCATTCATAAAAAGAATTCAATCATATATTTTCCTGTAGACGTAAACTTAGTATTCGTCACGCTTGGAATTTCTACATTCAATGAATGTAGTCTTCTCGCAAGCCGAACGTCTTTTCTTTTCTAAGTTTTTCTGATTTTCCCAATTTCACACATAAAACGCATGTGAGATATCACTTAATCTCTTATAGTACATGTTCAGACTTGCTAGATCAGTACATCTAATTCATCGTCTATGATAAATAAAGTGGTAACTGATCTGTAACTTGCTGCTGGCAGGTTCTTATCTAATCACTACCTTCGTGAAGAGTTCACTGTACATACGCATGTCGTAGAGCAGCGCGTTGAATGGTACAGTATTTGGTTTCATTTTAATAAGCAGATCATTGTCCTGGTTCAGTAGTTTGTGCTACAATGTCTTCATGCTGGACTTTTAATTCGCCAGAGCGTTTGTGCAGACACTTAGGATGTTATAGCTTTTCAGTATGACCCCTTGCTTTTTAAAAACTGTTCGACACGTTTTCTGGAGGTTCGGAAACTTAATCAAGGGGATAGCCAGGATCTGATTAACTTCGAATCTGATTTCCTTACCTCAAATGTCGATTTTTGAACAGGTTATACGCATTCGACGTCCATTGCAATGCTTATTTTCCCCTTTATGTGGTTCTTTATGGTACTGCCTTTCTGTTTAACATCTCATTTGCTAGTTTTCAGCTCATGTTTACAAGGTTTCTACATCTATTGAAATAGATATGTTAGTGGTTACTTTACTGCCATAGATTGAATAACTCAATGCGTGTATTTAGGTCTTGCTACTTGAGGATACATGCATGCTTGTCTGTACAATGTCAATTTTGTAGTATGTGTTCAACTTCATTACCAGTGCAGTTAACATAGTCACAAGAAGCCAACGCTGTAAGTCTAACATTGCGTGTCCAACACTTGATATTGATCGTTGGCCTGTCTTGCAGTGCTGCAGTACTTCCTGTCGCCACTCCTCCTGGCACATGGGTTTGTGGCGACACTGCTTTCGAACACGCTTTACTTTGTTGCGCTTTCCTACTACCATTATCTCAACTTCCTCGGCTATGATGGTAATTTCTTAATAATTGCGATTAGTTATATTATTAGATTTCAACTGTTCTTTTAGTCGACTCTTGCACCAAATGATATGATGTATCCTACTTCAACTAAATTCTTAAAGCTGCTTCATTGTGGTTGCAGTTCTGCCTTTCTTGGAGAGAACAACGTTTTTTTTGTATCCTATCGGGCTACTGGCTCTTCTATTTCCTATCTGTAAGTTTTTTGGTCTTCCATCTGACACAATAGTGTCGGTCAGTGATTTTATAACACATTTATATGATTCTCATAGATTTCTTTTGAATCACTTGGTGTCGTATAGATTGTTGTGAAATTATTCGACTTATAGAATGTCAAGTTAACCCTTGACTTGTCAGTGGTGGGTTGCGCTTAGTAATACTGAACAGCAGTATTATACCATATTTGTCACATGTTGTAGGGTGCTCCAAATATGTACATTGAGACTCTTTCTAATTATAGATCATGCTGGTTCATGTGCTGCAGCTCTTTTGACCGGATTCAATCCCTCTAGATTTGCTTTGGGCTTGTACTTTGGATGACTATTTACGACGTTCCAGATACAGGTGAGTGCATCACTATCAGGCACAAAATAATTTACACCAGCACCAGCATTCTAGCATTCCTACAGAGAAGGTATCTTAGGCTATGTTATGGGGGGAGTTTACGGTCTTAGCTATGGAGTTCGACACAGCAGCAGAAGGATGATTAACGGGAGACATCGATAGTTTGTGCAGTGTGCAATTCTTCACATGGACAATCACTGGTATATATATATAGAAAGGACTTGCAAATGCTTGGAAGTTTGAGTGGAAGTTCTGCCTGAACACTCGATTTGTGAAAGTAGAAATCGAGTGTAGGTCTAGGAACTGAGTTTTTTGGAATGCAGGTGGTTGGCCGATCTGCAGATGTTGCACTGCGGCGTTTTGTTTCGTAATATCCAAAATCAGTTCCTCATTTTGGTGCATCAACGAACTACATTATCAATAACATAGTAGTTTAGTGAGCTAGCCCTTCTTGTAAACAGAATCCGATCCAGCATTTTTTGCAGGATACCCTTTCTGAACATATCATGGATAACAATTGATTTTTGATGAGTTGGACCAAGGTATCGTTCCAGTGTGGTTGGATGTTATGGTCCCCCGAAATAGCTTCCTGGCACAGTTATTTAACCATGAAAGTTCCAAGTGCTTATTGTAGTAGAAACAATTCTATGTACCTTCAAGTTCATGCTCAGATAGTAGGTGAAATATCATCCGGATAATACCATTATCATTAGCAATCCATATGGTGGGAAGCAATTTCTCAATTTCTCAATTTCTTAAAATTATTTTGTAACTATGGCGTAGTTAGTTGAAATGGTTTTCAGAAGAAAATGAAAAAATGGTTAAAAGCTTATTTCAGCTGATTTTTTAAATAAGGTTTTATTATTATTATTATTAAAATGATTTTAAATCATTGTAGTGAAGGTTACAAACTGTAAGAGTATCAAATTCAATCACACCTGTAATATCACTAGGAAATAGGTTACAGTACGAATTATACTTAAGGATTGATCTTCATATGTGTTTTTTGAGGTGGATTGCCCAAGCTGAGAGTAGTGTATGTTGTTTGACGTAGAATTATTCATAGTCTCTACAAGGCAGGAATTGTAAGTGTTCTGACTTCCTACGATTTTCTATGAGTTTTTGAATAAAAAATGAATGATACTCCGTCAGAATCCACATTGTTAGCAGATGAGGATTAGTCATTTGCTCTGTGACTATCAGTAATTTCATACTTCGCACACCTGTCCACAGTTGCAGAGGGTTTTCTATCAGCTGTGAAAATTGAGAAAGAAATATTCTAATGAAAAACATAAATAATTTTTTTTATTTATCTCTATTTATATATACATTAAAATTGTACTATTTAAATAAAGGTTGTTGTTAGTGCCCATTTAAGTGTCTATTTCTTTAGATTTGATGTGATTTTTTATTTGCATTCAATGCTAAAAACAAATAGTTATGTACTCAAATTCCATTGATACAAATATAGATTCTATTAAATGCGAACAGATTTTTGTATACATGGATCAAAGTTTTGTTATGAGCACTTAATGACTACTTATGGTTAATTCAGGTTAAAAAATTAAATAAATAGATATATTTTTAATATACTTAGTTTGAAATTGTTTTGTTGATAAACAAATAAATATTTATTTTATTTTTATTGTGATGACTTTTTTAAGGTAATTTTGTCATTTTTGTGTTTCTCTGACTCAAGAAAGTTTCTACTTCATGCACAGAAATGAAAAGTTGACATATTGCTAATCTTAATTTTTTCATTAATTTAATATTTGCAACTGAGATATTAAATCTTTTATTGTTCTTCCTTCGAATAATTATACATGTTATGGAACAAAAATAGAGTCCATTTGTTAAAATTATAATAAATTTAAACTCAATGTTTAGGAAAAGAAATGTACTATATCAAAAACAAAAAAAAAATAAATCAAGACCATGAAAATACTTTGATGCTTCAAAAAAATCAAATCAAGATGCCTTCTAATATTTCCGGTGTTCGTCTTTTAAAAAACAAGAACAAAAATTACTAGAATGAAGAAGACTTGATTTGCTAATTGATTGATGTGCACATTGACATCTCAATTCATCATCTTTTTCCTCATCATCACAATGACACATTTTTTACAAAATGCTATCCAAGGACTTTGTACTAGAGAATCCCTTGTATCCGATGTACTAAACATCCAAATGTCCACAGGCTGAATTTCAGACAGACACTAATTGTCTTCCTTCTTTCCTCAGAACAACCAATCCACAAATGTGCTTCAATAGAGATGAGTACCACAACAAATATGTTGCTTTCCCCACAGTACAATTTCTTTGCAGAATTCTGTAATCTTTAGGGAACAGTAGGAACATCAGATCTAGGAACCTTTCATAACAAGCTAAAATAGAAGTAAAGACACAGAGACTATTAATAAATGATATAGAAACAAAATAAATTCCTTATCACATTCTGATCCGAAATAAAGTAAGAAATTGGGGCCTGTTAAATGACCATTCTTATAGTGGACAGAAATCACTTCATGCAATGTGCATGAAGAAAGCTCATGATGTTAAGAAGTGACAGAAACGTTAGCCTTCGCAATCTTCAGTGAAAAATTTAAGACTCATTCAAAAGCGAATTGAACTACTTCAAAACCTGCATTATCAGAGCTACCTCATGACAGTCTCCAAGCTGGGACCGTAGACAACCTTACATCGTTCTTCAAACGAACCAACAAGGCGAGCTTGCACTTCATTGAAAAACATGTTTGCCACCTACAAGGTAATATCTAGATCAGTTCAATGCATTCTTGCAGCAATGAAAAAACAACTCTGACAAGCCATCTCTAGTACGAATATGCTTCAGCCTTCAAAGACATAGTATAAGTAAACAGCGAACATACCCGGCGATAAAGAGGTGATTTGAACTGGAAATCGACCACAAAAAAAAGATGGCAAGTTTCTGGAGTAGGACCAGGCTTGAAATGCCACTCATTGTTCAAGAAGTCAAAAAGATTACTTTGTGAAACTGTTGTCTGATTTAAGACATCCATGTGGGCCAAAAAACTAGTTAGTTCAGACCATGGTCAGGTTAATAATTAAATGAGTCTCTAACTGCTAGCATGAGTAAAACATAGGGCCCTTAAAAGATGATGTAGAAAATATGTTGAATGCCCTTTTGCCTGTACAGAACTATTGACGAATGTTTAAAGCGCATTCTGACATACAAAGGCTAGGAATATATTGCAGGCATGAAAAAAACTGGAGATCTAATTGGCACAACTTTACAACAAGGTTATAAGAATACCTTAATGAGGCGCGGAGCCTTGAGCTCAACATGAGATACATATCTTTCTACAAAAAGCTTAAATCCGATCTCCAGTTCAGCGTCCATTCTATCATCTGTACGCCATAAAACTTTTGACTTCTGGCACCAGGGTACGAAATCTTCATATAAATCAACTCCCGCCACAACGTCAAACACCTGCTCCGGCGTATACCTGAATGGTACACAGTTTTAGAAAAGTGAAATTCAACTGTAACACGACTCTCGAATTCCATATTTCTACAACCTAAAACAAGGTACACCATAAGTCCTACTTCACACTACCCCCCAAGCAATGACGTATCTGTGTACGCCATAAAAGTTTTTATGACACCAGTGCGAAATAGTGATAGTAATATATACATTCCTTGCACCTCCACTTCAGCCCATGCATGTTTGTAATATTGAGGAGCTTCGTTCTAATACATTCATTTGCCGTGTGTCATATCATCATTCCATCTGTGTGAAGTATCTAGTAAATATTGAGATAGTAAGGGTCGTCTATTATTGCAAACCCTAATATTCATGATTGCTGTTTTCAAGTCAGGATAATAAGTGGCATGTATAGGATATTGTTAAACAAAGCAGCTTCTAAGGTTACCAGCACTACATCTTTGCACTTTTATACAAACAAGTACCCAATTCAACATACTCTGAGAGCAGCCATTTTCCTCCAATTGCCAGAAGATATTCCTGAGTACACTCCCTCTGCATTCCAGAGAAGCAATGCTGGTCCTGCGTAACTAAAAGCAGCATTCGCATCAAATTTGACCACAACTTGAACCATTTACCCGATAACACGATCCTCTTCGAAATGCTTTGCGACTCCAATGTCCTCATCCCCGTCTCCGATACCCAAGAATCCGCGCTCTGGTTGCAATTGACGACCCCAAAAAGTGGCTGCCGGTAATATCCGCTGCATCAACTTCACCTCGTCCGGCAACCTTCCTTGCCCCCATCTACCGCCCTGAGCTCCGGCAACGTTCACCGTCTCATCCCCACCTCCAATCCTCTGCTGAGCAAGTGGAGCTACAGCGCGGTATTGCCGATGATACTCGAAAAGCTTCCCAAAAGACCTCACCGCCGCCCTCCCCACTCCCGATGGCGATCTCATCATCTTTCTCTTCCAATTCACTTCACTCCCAAATCAATGTAACCTCGCTTTCTAAGTAGAAAATCCTTTTCGACTCGACCAAACTCTCCTCCACAGAGAGCAACCCCCACTCCACCCCTCAATAGTTCTCGATCACGACAGCATACTTCGAATTCAAGTTACACTTGCACCCAACTTCGAAACTTAACCAAAACAGAATGAAGTGCTGTCAAAGCCAAATTGTAGAGGCAGTCAAGTTAGAATTGACATTAACCACAGGGGTTTCATTGCGTCCTGGAGTTGAATGTAACACTAATCTGACGGGCGTTGAACGTAGAAACAAAGTTGGACAGGCAGAGCGTCGGAGCAGGTGAAAGTGAAGCGCACATGTCTTCCATTCATGGATACGCGTGTCTACCTTTCAATGGTTGCTGTAGAGTCAATTTCATGTTAGGGCTTTAATTTTCCAAACCATCGCTATTTTTAGAGTGAGTTGCTTTGCTGGGCTTTAGTGCCAGCGCCGAAGACCAGTTACTCAAGAGCTCTTTAGCATGGCACGTATCTTCTATGTGGCTCGAAATGAAACCACAGCATGGTAAAATATTAACATCAAATAGGGACTGACCAAGAAAGATGCAAACATTTGAGTGAGTGGTCACAATATTATGGCTAGTGCAGTCAAGGAAGCTATTCCTGCACTTCAGGAAGGTTTATGTCATGTGAAGCAATTAACAGGCGAACATGACTCAAGTGAAAACATAGCGTTGGTTGACACTTTTTGCATTCAAGGCTCAATTCACTTGAAAGTGGCAAGTAAATCATCTAAGTCAAAAAACTTGAAAGAATGGTATCTCTCCAATTAAGTGCTACAAATCCTGGAACTCATCTCCTTCACCTCCTAAGCATGTCAACTGTAGCGAAATGGTTTGTGTCAGTGCTTTCACTTCAGTTGTTTTTAGCCACTAGTCCAAATTTGAGAACACTCCAGGCAAAACTCTTGTCCGTAATTAGAGGAAAGAATAATAAACTATGACTCAATACTTGGAACAAATTGGAAGAAATAGAGGTAGCCCATGTCCTTTCGTGGATCCTCTGATAGAGTAACCTGAAAATCGTTGAAAATAACCCATCGACTGTCTTTCCGAACATGAGCAAAGTAGTGACCAATGTGACTTACAAAAGCTAAAAGTTTGTATTTTCCTGGGCCATCTCGATAATTTATTTGCGGTTGTACATGAGTGTCCGTTCCCACATCCATCTCCATAGCTAAGGATTCCTCTGAATGGTTTGAGATCCACTAGGCTGCCCTTTTCATTTCCCCTCCCTAATACGCAAAACAAATATGTAAGTTCAAGCATCAACGCGGATGCTGGCAACACTATGACAGACTAATGTACAACGCGACATTTCAGACTGAAATCCAAACACGCTGAGGATTTCCACGCCCTTTTCGATCGCTGGAACACCACTTGATGTTTCGCTACCTCAAGGTTCTGGAATAGGATCATCGATATCAGGTAATTATTGCCAGTACCCAAGATAAGTTGAAAAGTTTTGAGACTGAAATCAATAAGCTTCATATCTTATAAATAAATAAACTTACGTTAATTTTTCGTAAAACTTAGCACAGCGCTAAAAATTATCTTCAAATTCCACCAGCTCAGAAAAAGAAGACGTGACAATTGACAGCCAACCCGAATCATCCATATGTGCCAGAAGCCAGTTCATAGCTTCTTCAAGTCCATTATTGAGGGTCTGAATAGCTGCTTAACCACAACGGATCCTTCGAAATCCATATCAACTAATTGAGACACAATGACAACTGCTGCTGGGCCAGCGTGCTCAGGAATTTCATCTGAAGCCACACATACATTACAGCATCCAATTTTAAAGTGTAAAATGCGTCAGAGACGAACACACGCAAACCTGAAATTAAAAATTAAGGACAAACGAGTGTCTTTTCCTCAGGTGATTTAACGGAAAGATGATTTGGGAACACATGCGACACACATCTTCACTCTGGTTACGTCGTAGTTTAATTCAAATAGAGGTATCAAGGAATGTTAAAACTTCATGTAAGACAATGGTAATAGGAACCGTAAGTCATGTTGAGAGCAAATACACGCCAGGTGTCTCAGGCAGAAAGCTGTTCGTCTAGCTGCAACGCTTTACAGTTCATATCACTAGTATCAACATCATCAGAGACATCCACGAAAACATCTGCAGCCAAGTCTCCTTATTAGAATTCCGTTTAAATGGACTTTAACGACTATAAACAGAGACCTCCACAAAATTAGAACGAATTTCTATTTGTTGCAAGCTGAGAAACGTACCAAGCTTTTTTGGAACCCAACCAGCTGCCAACACAAATTCCCGCACGTGAAGCACCAAATAGTCTGAGAACGTAGCTAATCTTGTTGTCCTGCCACAGAAAAACATTTACCACAAAATTCAAAGTTAGTGTTCTGATCTAGTTCCCGCTCTGCAATTGTCATTTCTGTCTGAGATCAACAAACCGTTTAGTTTCATTAGTCAAGAATAACTGCGAAATCAAGATGTGAAAAAAGCATTGGATTCATCACTTCAGGTCCAACACTGACAAACGTTGAAACTATTCGGACTGTTGTCAACCCTCATTCAACTACTAGTGAAACAAGTCAGATGGTCTCTAAAAATGCTTAGCAAAATTTGGTGAACAAACCCAGTATTCCTACATGAAGCTGCTGGTCAAAAACGAGATAGTATCAAATCATTCAATATAAATATTTCATCACAAAGAAAGTGCAAGCATTCACTTCTTTTGGTATCGCCTTAACAAATACAAGAAAATAGAGTATCAAACATTTCCTGAAAGAAAACACACTGAACAGTACAAACACCGACCGCGTTACATGATACAGCACAGCAGTGAAAAGATCAAGTTGGTCTTGTGTCTGTTATAGAAAAACCCATTACCTTTCTCAGGGATGAAAAGCCAATCCCAAAATGCGCAAGATGTTGTGACAAAAATCGATGCTCTACCGCGTTGTCCTCCGCATAACTATGCACGTCTGCAACGCACCCTTGTCAACGAGATAGCGTTCCCAAATATAAATAATGCACTTCTACCTGGAGCATAACATGCCACCTAGATAGCCTGCAGTCAAACATGGTGCTATGAAACTGGTGAAGCGAAAACCAATCTTCTATTCTACTAAAGAGATGTATGTAAGTATTAAAATTCCTCATGTTGAAGAATAATGAGCGAACACAGGAACCATAAAACTAACACAAACACCAAAAAAGAAAAAGTAATCACCTGCCCCTTCTAAATCAAACGTAAGTGTCCCAAGTTTCACCGCCAATGGTCTCTCACTACTGTTCAAAAACATGATAGTTGCCTCTGGATCCGTCCCAATTGCGACGCCCACACAGAACTGTTCCATCTGTAAGGATCATCCATAGATTGTCTGCTTTAACACATTTGAAGCACTTCCAGCCAGTAGGTGGCACCTTCACTCCATTGTTCAGTTGCTGCAACGACGAGGCGTGAAAACTAACTTGCATCTTGTTAGCAGTCCAAGCTGCGACCTCTTCCTTTCTTTTGGCACTGACAGCTGCAAGTAATCCATCCACTGCCAGCCTGATTTGAATCATCAAAAATGCAATAACCCATCAAAAGGAGTACGGTAAGAAATCGTTCACAATTGCTTATACTTCTGATGCCATTGTAGTCATGGTGCAAGCAAACCGAGATGAAATTGAAGCATCAAACATTGATGTAAACAAGATAAGTGTAAGAGACTCCTTCAACCAATACAAGGCATAAAATCAAATAAAATCAAATACAGGTTAGACTTTGAAAAATCCCATAAAAGAAAAAATACGCAACACAAGTCATGTAGCACATAACCACAAGAAAGTGTGGCAACCACGCTACCATTTCAGGGATCTCCGTGCTAGAATAAGGAAGTGAGATGAAGTCTGGCAATATGATAATGCTGTAGGATGCTTCGTATTCAGGATCTTTGATAACAAACCCCTCTTCAACTTCTGTCAGTCACGTCACAATTGTTAGAAAAGCACAATACAACACATCTGCAAAACCAGCGTCACGACGTCTAGTGAGTCAGCAACTTACCAGTCGCGAACTCAGTGTATAGGTCACTTATTTTATTAAAGAAATAATCATGAAGCCACAAACCCCGCGCAAAGACACGAAGAGACACTTTTAGCCATTCAATAGCAAGTTGCAAGTAAGCTCTAGAAAAAACGGATATTAGAATTTAGATTTCATATCGATTGCAAACAATGCTGGTTTCTTCTGTGGCCAATCCTCTCTAACTTGTTTCAATGTTTCTTAGATATTCAAATAAACTGGGTTATCAGTCTTTTCATAATTCCACATAACGTACTCATTACCGAACGCCAAAAATGACTACATGTCGACAAACAAACCTCCCAGAGAACTCTGCATCAAACCTCTCAGATGGTGCTGGTTAATTGGTGATAATAAGAGAGATACGAGACGACTTAAGAAGACCAATCCAAATTATACTTCTCGCTCAACTAGACCCTTCTAGATTATCAGGCGTTGCCAGGTTTAGGGTCCGAGATATTGGTAAACATAAAAAAATCAAGAATTGGTAAACATCTACAATGCGGAAATGGGGATCACGCGGTTCAAGTATCCAATGAGCTACTATTGATCCTAACGTTCGTTTATTGCCTAATTAACACGCCAATGCAATGTGGAAGGAAAGGCTGATTCGGATAATATAGAGAGCTACCCCCATTCCCTGTATAAAGACACAAACTAGACTACCAGTTTGCTCTTCTCCAGGACTGGGAACACTCTCGCTGGAGACAATAAAGATTGTATGTGAGCAAACAACCCTCTCTGACACAGCATTTAATCTACCCAATTCGTACAGTGCAGCTACTTCACACATACTTTTGCATTCTGATTGTGCACAACGCTAAATATTCATCTCCTAATCAATCAATCTAGTTAATATCACAATGTAGGAGTCTTAAATTTGGTATGGCGAATTGTAGCTTTTCAGAGAGCTCCAACTTAAAATTGTTACACGACCCAGTCCTTGCAATAGACAAGAAACCTACAAGAATTTCAAATTCCACGAATTCCTCACCGGTGTGGAAAATGAGACACAGCATTCTTGCTTGTAGATTCAACTCAACATCTCGGGGATCCGCACTTTGGATACATGAAATCTTCTCTCTCTAAACTAATATCCTTGGGACTGGGTGGATGATATTAGTTTATGGAGGTTATTAGATTACTTAATATTAAATGGGGTATCTGTGTATGGTAAGACTGGGTTCTTCTTAGTTGCATACATACTAGTTGGCAGGAATGTAATTCACTTGTAATGGGTTTTAGTAATGCCAAATTTAAGAGTTTCAGATCTAGGACTGAGGCAGAGCAATACTTTAAGGGTCAGTGCTCATGTCTTTGGTTTTAGCCTAAGTTTTTGAAATTGTAGTACTTGTACTTCAGATTTGGAGCAAATTTTGTTTCTACAGGTTTTGAATTTGATCTTCCCAAGAGCTTTGGTTAGTATATTGGCTAGTTGCTCAATGGTTCAAACCAATTCAACTTCAATTGAACTATCTTTAATTTTTTGTCTAGTAAAGTATAAGTCTATTTTAAAATATTTGGTTTTGTCATGAAAGATGAGATTTTTGGATAACTTTATTTTACTTTGGTTGTTGTATAAAATTGTTGTTAGTTTGTTATCCACAAAGCCCAATTCTTATGCTCATTATCTTAGTACTTTATAGGTGTTTTTTATTAATGCTTTTTATTTAGATTTATAGGAAGACCTTCATGTTCTTGTTTGTTTTTTGAGCACCCTGAAATTGAAGAGTTGTCTACAATGAAAATATAGGCTCCAATTGAGATGCAATCATTGTTGTGTCTTGTGTAATCAGCCTCAAAGAAACCTTTCAATGTAATATCTTCTTCCTAAAGATGCTAAAGATCTATGGAAGTACTTGACTACAAAAAAAAGTAGTGATTTTATAGATGTGATGTGGTGTATGCATATAGCTACTAAAGAGAAATATATTAAAAATGATATTTCACTAAGACTTCGTATAATAGTTGAGTTTGTTGACAAGGTGTTGATAGGCAGTAATATCAATGAGAGGTGATCAATGTACTTAGATAGTTTGAAAGAATCTAGAAGTAAGAAATGAATAGGATAGTAGTCAAGCATGTGATATTTAATGGAGATGGTTACAATATAGTTGGTTTGGTGGAGTAGTATTTCTTAGTTGGTTTGTAGTACTTGGATGCCAAGAAATTTGGACATTAATTTCAAATTGGTCATATCATATTTGGAGTAGAAAAAGCATTTGAATATTTGCATGTCGCTCATGTCTGACCCTTTGATGTAGAAGTTGTTAAAATATAAGATGAATGTAAGAGTAAGTTGAAGTTATTTATGGACAGAGACATTGTGGTCAATATGGATATAATTGAGGTCCTATTTGTAGAGGTTAAAGTTGATGTAATTATATCAAATATGTGGACTTTGATCAATTTTATATAAAAATTGATTCAACTTACAAATAAATTTTTTATGGCTAAGTTTGACACAACTCTAGAATTAGATCATTTCGGTGAAAAAACAATAGTTACACATATGTAGTAGATGGACTATCCAAAATGTGTAACATAGGCAATTACTATTCTTATTGACTCCCATTAGACAATTGGAGAAAAAATTTCATGGTAGTTAATTCCATACTATTATTGAAATTCTTAAGCTATGATACAATTTTTGTATTACACAAGACCTTTGTGCATGCTTGGTTTAATTTTGTATATCTAATGTCCTAAGATGGGACAAATATTAGTTAGTGGTTTGACTTATATCTATTTGTTATTTTTTAAAATAGAATTATATTCCAACTCCATTGTCTTCAGTCATTAAGGATCACATGCAACTTGTTCTTAGGTAAATTTTTTTCTTCTTTCTTCTACTTTTTAAATAAAGAATTTTTCTCTATTAATGCATATATAATTTTCATGTGCTTGTAGGTAGTTTCAAATATACTTGGACCATCAAGGAGATACAAGAATCAATATTAGAAGTAGAGTTGATAGGTGTTGTTGGTATTGTTGTATATATGTAAATAACTATAATGTGAAAGATAGTGAGGATACACAAATAATAAGCATAAAGATATTTGGTAGAGTATTATTTGGTGACTGCCAATGAAGAAGTTTGTGTAAAGCTTGGATTTATTTGAAGATGTATAGATGGCATAATGTCTAGGAGTTATATGTAAGGTAGTGAAGAATAGTGCAATATATGAGAGGGGAGCTCTACTTCTATTAGGGGAGAAAAATAAAAATCCTTGATTTTTTCATCTATACTCAAGTAAAAATATTGATGCAAGTGAGGATTGAATTTGAATTTTTCTAGCTTGGTCTCAACAATATAACCTGGAGAATAAAAAATGTACAATTAAGATATATTTGATTTGATGCCCAAGAAGAGTTCATTCAAGATTTTATTTGGATTTTGTTTTGTAGATTGTAGGTTGAGTATGATAGCAATTGCACAAAGAACTTCTGCTCACATATTACTAAAGAGTTTTCTATCTAATAGAAGACAATAAGTGTTATTAAAGAAAAAGTAATTTCTTCTTTCTAGAATTTTATTAAATTAGAATATGTATGGTTGAAAAAAATGATATTTGATGTATTTTGTGTAATAGGTAAGAAATATTTTTAAAATATATTCTCTACTATTTTTAAATCATAAAATACACAATTTTTATTTATTTGATTTTTTACATCTTTATAAAATATCTTAAATTTTTCAATGGCTTCACTCTTCTTATGTATAAAATAAATGAATGTTTTCTTTGAAAATTTATTTATAAAATTAATGAAATATTTAGTGTCTCTTATTGAGGAAATTTTGAAAGGTCTTGGAATATCAATATAAACAAGTTCAAGAACTGGTGAATAAATTGACTTCTTATTTTTGATTTTTTTTTTGATTTTTATTTTATTTCTTTTTTTTTATTTTGATTTTGATTTTTTTTAAGTATGGTTTACATAATAGATTGATAATGGTTAGATTTGAAAACTCTTTGATTCCAAATTATATCATTCTTTGTAATCTTTGATAATAGACATGTCTTAAATATTTAAGCTATAACATTGTTTTTGAAATATAAGTTGTTGTGTACCACTGTAAAGTCATATAAACTTAAAACTAAATTTTTTTTAATAAAATCTATATAAATAAAAGACTGCAATTCTTAATTGTGGATCTTGTAGTTGATCTCAACTACTAAAAGAATTCTCAAATAAAAAGCTATTAGATGAAATTTATCATTTTTTCTTATTTGTAATAATATTGCACATAAAAAAGGTTCAATGCATCTATTTTCATATGTGCAATATTATTACAAGGTTTATAAAATATTTTTAAAAAGTTGATACAATATAAAATTAATATAAAAATAAAAATTAACTTTAAAGCTTAAAATGATACTTCTATAACTTTATTCTATTGAAGTTTGTCTTTACAAGTCAAATGTGTGAGTGGAGTTGTAACTTGAAAGAAATTATAAATAAAGATTTGATAATAATTAAAAAATTTCAAAAAATGATAATTATTTTTTCTTATTTTTAAAATCCTTCAATCCATAATTATTTATATTTTCTTAGGATCTATTATAAGGCCATAATTTTAAATGATATATCCTAAAAAAATAATTTAAGTTATGTAATATATATACTTCTCCATCTTAACATATAGACCATATTTTTAAATTTTTATAATACATGATCAATGTAAAATTCATATTTTTTATATTTTTAGATTAAATTAAAATATGATTTAAATAAAAAATAAAAAATAATCTAAATTTTTTTTAACAATATCATTTATAGGATGTTAAAAAGTACTCAGTATATTTGTGAGTTCAAAAAGTATGACATTATATTCAAAATATCTATATTTGGTTCACAATATAATCTATTTTTTTAATTTATTTTTTTAGTGATTAACAAATTATATATTTTTTTTAGATTTATTTTAGTATAGATCTTTGTTTAATCCAATTGATTAAGAAGTCTTAACATTAAAGTTAGAAGATACATATTCTTAATGGTAATGTGCCTAAATCTTCAATAATCTATACACATGTGCAATGAATTGTCTTTTTTCTTCACAAATAAGATAAAAATTTCTACTAGAGATTTTAATTGCTTGTGAAATTATTAGCAAGGTTCTCATTAAAATACTCCTTGAGTGAAACAAACCTATTCAGTAATAAGTTATAGATTGGTCAAAATGGAAATTGAGCTCTTTTTTGGAGATCAATAGAACAATCATAGGAATCATACTTTGGAAGAATATTTTCATTTTTCTTCTAAAAAACGTCTTGATAATCTTGATATTGGCTTAAAATGCCACTTCAAGACTTTTCTCCATAAAAAATGGATGTGGCATAAATATCAAAATATAACCTTTTTTTTGGAACATGAATAAAAGCTCTTGTATCTACTAATAAAGATTTGATTGTACTAAATTTATGATTTTTTTTATTAATAAAAATTTTAATTATTTTTTAATGCTAGTATAATATTCTATTAAATATATATATATATATATATATATATATATATATATATATAATTTAATATAAATTTTGAAGTACCTTTAATGTCAAGGAGATGAATTTCAAAAGACTTAAAGATCATTATAATCTTATATTTTTTGAAAAGACTAAAAAATCACTTAAGGATAATATAATATTAAATTAAAATGATTATTGCTAAAGACAAAGAGATTAGAAAGTCTTGAAACAGAACTAAAGACTACAAAAGAATGTATGTCTATAGCATTATTCTCCCTTTTAGAGATGAATTTATAATAATTCTATTTTACCATCTATTTAAAGAAGTACATGTCATTCTTGAAGATCTTCATTACTATTGCATCATCTTAAAGGTTGTGATAGTCACAATGTTTGGTTCAATAATTTATCAAATAATAGCTTTTGAGTTTAATCTATTGGTTGTTGATTCTCTATATTTTTAGTACCACAAATATACAAAAATGATAAAAAATGATAAAAAATAAAATACAATCTT